ATGCTTTAAAACAAAGTAAACATATACAAAATATTTCCTGATCATCTAAATCTTCTTAGTCCCTCCTGTTGCTGCCTGTAGTAAGATCTCATTTACCCCTGCCCTATTTTCTTTGGATGGGCAAACATCTCAGCTGAGTAGTCTAGATCTGCTTTGCTTAGATGATACATTTTGCTTGGTCATTACCTAGCGCAGAAACAATTAAAATAAAGGACTACTGCACCACTGAGCTATTCTAGTCATGTGGTCATAGCAACAGACATGCCAATCATCCATTCTCAACGTATACTACTTTCTTAAAGAAAATGTCCAAATCGTAGCCTTCGAAAGAATCAGCCTTGCGTGCCCTATAGCACAACTGATCTACAGTGGGTCAGTCAGTTACTCTATTCAAGGAATTTGGAAGGAGATTACAGAAATGATGGTGGGCACTTAAATTAAACTGACAGAGCATCGTGCATAAAGGCCTGAATCACCAATGAGGCAAGGCAAGCTGACATTGAGAAAGAAAAGCCAGGAGTAAACAGATTGATAATCACAAGTCTGCACAGAAAAACAAAGTAAATAAGAGAAAGAAGACAAACAATAGGAGCTCTAGAAGAAATAGATGGAATAATTATGGTTTCCCCATAGCCCTGCAGCACTTTATAAGTGATGTTCTATCCTTTTAATAAATCCTACTTTTACTACAGCTTTCTACATGTTTGTTTCCACAGGTAAATGAGAACTCGAAGGACAGTATCAATCTGATCAGTTATCAGTGTATCAGCACTTAATAAGAACCAGGCCTAAAAGAGTATCTGTGTTTTGGCAGAAATACCATACCATTAACTCTATCAAGGAAGCTCCCTCTCTCCTTGTTATAGCACTGCTGTCAAAAACTCATATGCCTACAAAAAACAGGCAAGTGAGAAAAGAGGACTAGCATCTTAAGGCTTTTTTCTTTAGATTCTGACATTCTTTATTGTCATATTAAATGGATAAGCATTTTCCTCCTTTACATAAATACACAATATCTGCTTTCTCCCATTTTTCTTGGTCTTTTGTCTTCTGCTTTCCATAGAGATAAGGGTAGAAGAAAAAAATGACAACTAGAGATGATGCAAATACCAAGGGACATTCAGCCTTGCTAAGATGTAGGGGGGATAGTGACAAAGTAGGAAGCAATTTCCTACCTAAAAAGAATAATTATTATTCAGTGTTAGATAATTGTCACCACATAGGGTTTAACTTTCAATTTTAAAGAGAAAACAAACATCTAGATTTGTCTGTAAAGTCTCCTGATTTCAAACTTTTGCCATAAGTTTTTCTGCTAAAACAATGTGGGTCAGTTCACTGGCTGCCAACTTGCAATCCTACTGTAGGCTCTAGTGTTCTTTTATAACGTCCTGGATTTCTAGCTTCCTTAGGTATGTTTATTTAACGTCTATAATATGCAAGGCCTATAATTACATACTAGGCAAATCGCCACCAAGATTGAACCTCATTTATTTTTCTATTCACAGGTTATTTTAAATTCAACATGTTATTCTTCAGAGACAACTTAAAACCAATATTATTAATTAACATCTTACCAATTATATACCAAATCATACCACCTACTCTGAAAGGACCATAATTTAAACTGTTTGAAGTTAACTGTCTAGGGTAGGTTGAAAAACTGTTTACAGATGCTGTGTCAATTATATAACTAGCACTCTGGCCTCTGGGTCTTGGTTTCTGCTGTTCCTTCAGCCTGTAATGGCTGGCATCTCTTCCTCTAAGAAGCTGCCTTATATATTATTTCCTGATCATCTCAAACTTACCCCCTCTGAGCTTACTGCATACACTACTGAAATCATGCCTTTTTGTTTACATTCCCAAAGACACTATAAATACCTTAAGGATCAGCCCTATATAGAATTTTGGATTGCATGTCCAGAAACTAAGTATGATTAAATGTGCCATGTGGCAAATACTGAGAATCTGTTTGATTCAGCTGGCCACTACTTCCCAAGCAGGCTACCATGTGCCTAGCAGCTAACAGATGCCAATTTCTTCACCCATTCTTCAATAATATAAGTGGTGAGAAAGATAGTCTCTGCATTCTCACTAAATCTATTGAGAGAATGATACAAATTAAAGATTTGTTAAGCAAATTAATATATGTATACAAATACATACATGCACTTCAGTTCATTAACATAGTTGTGTGTCTTTAGGAGACTCAATTTCTCTAAGTCTTGGTGTTTTTGTCCAACTAAATGCAGATGATGCCAACTTTACTAGGTTATGTGAGAAGTGAATGAGAAATTCTAGGAAGTGCTAAGACAATGGCGTATGTCATAGCTAATAAAAATGCGGCCATCACCTCTTAAGGAAACCAAAACTCCAAAGGTAGTTCTAACTGACAAATTTTTAAATCCTGGATATTTGTGTGAAAGAGGAAACAGTTCAATAAACGTACTTAATGTACACAGTTTACAGTAATCCAAACAGTTGCTTAGTTTTATGAAACTACAGTTTCTACCAAGCTCAGAGAAAAAATACCATCGTAAATTCACACTTTGTAAAACAAATAGTCCAAGGATTGCCACGTGTTTTCGGCATGGCAAAACAAAAATCTGTATGTAGGTGAAAGTCAGAAGCGGATAAATTTTGGCTCGGTATTAGAAAAAAAGTCCAAAGTTTCTAAATACTTAGTATTTCCAAATACTTTCCACAGCTTCACATGCAGAATGTCATGCCTCAAAAGGTTCACGTCCTAATACCCAGAACCTATGAATATGCTGTTACATGGCAAGAGGGAATTAAGGTTAAAGATGGAATTAAGGTTTCTACTCAACCTTGAGATGAGGAAAATATTCTGGATCATCCAGATGAGCCCAGTGTAATCACAAGGGTCCTTGTAAGTAGCAGAAGGCAGGGGGGGAGTATTAAAAGTGATGTAATGTGATAAAGACTGAACCAGCCATTGCTGACTTCGAAGCCCATGAATCAAAGAATCTTAGAAATCTCTAGAATCTGGAAAACGTAAGGGAATGGGGTCTCGAGCCTCCAGAAAAGAATACAGCTCCTACCAATAGCTTGATTTTAGCCTAGAAGATCCATTTTGGACTTCAGACCTCCAGAACTATGAGACGTGAATTTGTGTTGTTTTAAGCCACTAATTGGTGGTAATTTGTTGCAGCAGCACTAGAAAACTAATTTGGCTTTCTGTGAGATGCAGTGCCTTCTTCCTGACAGATGGTATTCAAACTGGGTTAGACAAGTTGTTCATGGTATATGTCTAGGGGATGGGCGATAGGTAAAAAACATCATGAGGATGCAGGTAAGGATTGCTTGCCTAAGTGAGTTCCTAAAGGCATTAAACTGGGCCTATGTATACTTTTTTTTTTTTTTTTTTTTCTGAGACAGGGTCTCACTCTGTCACCCAGGCTGAAGTGCAATGGTAGGATCATAGCTCACTGAAACATCTAACTCCCGGGTTCAAGGGATCCTCCTGCCTCAGCCCCTGGAGTAGCTGGGATGCCAGCACGCCTGGCTAATTTTTTTTTTCGAGTAGAGGCAGGGGTCTCACTTTGTTGCCCGGGCTGGTCACCAACTCCTGGGCTCAAGCAATCTTCCAGTCTCGCCTCCCAAAGTGCTGGGATTACAGTCATGAGCCACCATGTGCACATTTTTGTGTGTAACCATTTATGGTACCTTCTCTGTATAGAGAGTCTGCAGCATTTTCAAAGATTCTCAAAAGGATCTGCTTGATAGACAAGATTAAGAACACTCTTCCCAGATTATATCTAATACTGAACTTTTAATATTCCATGATTTTCTAAGGCAGTGAGTCTCAAAGCACATTCCATTAAATGTCAAAATAAAACATCAGAACGCATCCAACATTTGTAAAATGCAGATTCCTGAGCCCCACACTAGATCAGACCAAATCTCTAGGAGCTGTAAAAAAATTTAATTTCAACAAACTTGGAGGAGGGAAGAGAGGGAATTCTGCACACACTGTTAAAACACCTCTGCTCCAAGGAATATGTTATGAAACATTACACCAAAAAAACTGAAATAAATTGTTCCCATTACGGAATCTTTAGGAACCCCAATACACTCATCTTACTATATGGCTTTGTGTGATTTTTTTTTTTTCTGGGCCTCAGGTAGCTCAGAATACGAAGGCAATATCTATTAGACCTATTTAAATTAAAATTCATTCTGTAGAGTGCCAGGAACGATGACTGGCAGGCAATACGTCAGATTAAAAAACGTCAGTCCTATTCTCCATCCCTGCTTCCCTCCAACCCTCTCCCCAAATAAGGAAAAATAATACCCAGCCTGCCATTTTGCATACTGTTAAATACTGCAAGAATTGTGTTAACCGTATCAATATCATTACTAAACGACAATTTTCTATAATAAACTTTTTGGTATGATTTATCTCCTAAATGTTCGCTCTTTCAAGCGAATATTTGCTTGAAACATTCTCCTGGACCTTTGTCTGTGATGCCGTAGGAATTTACAAATTTAAGTCTTCCACGAGTCATGGCGTGGGGTAAAACTCGACTGGCCTCAATGAAAACACCTCCCAACAGAGAGGCCTAGAGAATGAGTAAGAACTCCCAACAGTGGCTTTTCAATCTCGGCAACCTTGGGCAGCTTTTTCTCGTCCGAGACGTTTGACAACCCTAAAGAAACCTGAGCCTTGACTGGAAAGGGGGCTGAGGGAGGAGAGTTTAGGAACCCTCTCCGCGCCTCACAAATAACCCAAATTCCAAGGCAAGGTCACAAAGTCATACAAACCAGGAGGCCTAGGGTAGGGTCGAATTCTCCCAGCTGCCAAGAAAGCCCTCCACAGCATGCATTAGGCCGAGTCGGCGGACCCCACCCAGAGAAAGAGGGAAAGGAATAGGGAGGCCGCGCACCTCAACACCCAGACGCAGGTCCTCAATCAAGACTGCCCCTGTCCCAGGCCCATCACTCAGCTACACAGAGAAGCTGAGCGAGCCCCGGCCACTCACCCCGAAGCCACTGCGTGCTGTGAAACCATCTCCAATTAGCTCCGCGGCTTACAGACCACCCAAGAGCCCCCTTCACCAGTCCTATGCTTCGGCAGCCAGGGAAGCCCACAAGATAACGCAGTAGCCGCGGATCACAGCCTAGCCTCCAGGAGGCCGCCATCTTCACGGCCTTCTCACCGGCTGCCCGCAGCACAGCCTGATGTCCAGCATCAAGGCCCCGCCTCCCACATGTTTGGCCACACCCCCAGACGATCGAGGTGCCTTTAGGTCTCTCAGACTTGAAGCCCTCCTAGTCCCGCCTCCAACCACGTTGGCCACGCCTCCCGGGCAGTCAGGTGCGCTGCTGGATAGCCCAGCCGGAGGGGCCTTACCAGACCCCGCCCACCCTGTTCGCCCCGCCCCCGGGCTGCCCTCAGCGCCGCCTGATTGCATTTGCGGCCTTGCTGCCTCAACCTAGGCTGAGCGCCGCGAGTAAAGTGGTGCGGAGATTGGAGGCCGCGTGGGTCCCTGGTCTAGGCCATGTCTGGCTGTGACGCTCGGGAGGGAGACTGTTGTTCCCGGAGATGCGGCGCGCAGGTAGGGGCGGGGTCACCGGTACCGGTTATTCCCAGGAGTAGAGGCCCAGACGGAACTTGGCGGCGGGAGCTGGGCGCGGGGTCGCGGGCCGGGCGTTTGGCTGCGGGGCGGGGCTTCGGGCCGGGCAGTTTGCGACCCTGGAGCACCGCGGCCTTCGCGTTGGGAAGCAAGGCTGCGGCCCCAGGCGATCAGTGGTCCCGGGCAGGGCGCTCCGATGACGGGAGCTGGGCGCCAAACATTGGAAAGAAGCAAATAACGCAGAGAGAATAGCGTTTGGGTGACCTCAGCGGGTATTTATCAGGAAGACAGGCCAGAGAAGGAATCGTGAAGCTCCGAAGTGGAGCTGGGGCGAAGACCGCGCTCCCCGAGCTTCTTTTCTGCGCCCTGACCAGTTAGGCGTTTGGGGAGACTTTTGGCACTCGGGAGACATTTGCCGAACCGGAGCTGTGCCTCGGCTGCCAGCGCTTTGCCTTTGAACAGTTGCTCCTTGCCTATCTCCCTTTAGATGAATTGTGGGATGATCATGGGAACGATTCTTCCTTAAGCCGAAGTCAAAGGGAAATCCACCCTCACTCTGCATGTAGTTTTCGGTCATTTACACAAACCAACAGTTTTATGGAGCACCTTCTCCGCGCTCAGAGATGGCGGTACATAAGACAAATGGCCCAGGGTCTGGAGAACTAGACGAATAAGCAGTTTCAGCACAATATGATAAACCCCACCTAAGAGGCAGGGAAACCCCTCAAAATTAGCTCCCTTATTCCCCCTATCTTATTCCTCCCATGTATATCTTTCTTAGGGTTGAAAATCCTAATTAAAAAGTAGTAACTAGCAGGAGATTTCATTGCTAAGTATTTGTCAACCGCTGTCTTGTTTGAATAAGTGACTTCCCCAAATTAGCGAAGACTACTCTGAAAATAGAATGGTGGATAGGCAAGGTTGGATGGGAGAGAGAAGATCTTGGAGATAGGACAGATAATTGGAGATCGTTCCTAGGCAGGTGTGTATGGAGAAGTGTTCATGCCCTCAATCAGTAAATCTTAGTGTAATGTGAGCATCAAAGAGAGCCTTAAGGGACCCCAGAATAAACTAGGATTCTCATACCAAGCATGGCCCACAGACAGCTTGATAGACAGGCATGTTTCGTTTGCCTAACTCAATGTTCATGAAAAATTTGAGCTAACGTTTCTTTTTTTTCGACACGGAGTTTTGCTCTTGTTGCCCAGGCTGGAGTGCAATGGCATGATCTCGGCTCACTGCAACTTCTGCCTCCTGGGTTCAAGCGATTCTTCTGCCTCAGCCTCCCAAGTAGCTGGGATTACAGGCGCATGTCACCACGCCCAGTTAATTTTTGTATTTTTAGTAGAGATGGGGTTGCACCATGTTGGCCGGGCTGGTGTCCAACTCCTTACCTCAGGTGATCCACCCACCTTAGCTGCCCAAAGTGCTGGGATTACAGGTGTAAGCCACCATGCCCGGCCAAGTCAACATTTCAAAGTCCAGAAGCATTTCAGCTTCTTTTAAAACCTCAGAACATATGGTGACATCGGGCCCTTATTTTTTCCTGGGATCTGGATTGCGGTTGCTAGTGAACACCGCCTTTACCGAGGGTGCTGGCCAGGTTACCACAGCTTCCACTGCTCACACTGGATTTGAATATCCAGTTAAATACATGAGCCCCTCTAGATATTTGTGTCTGTCTGGTTTTGTACAAATACATAAAAACAGCAATAAGAAAAGTTTTAAGAAGTCATAAAATTTCATTGTAGTTTTAGCGGGTCATGGGCAATTGAAAGAGACAGTCTCTTTGGCCTTAAGGAAGGGGAACGTTCAACTGTAAGTGATTAGTTCAACAAATATTTAGTGAGTGCCTACTATGTGCCAGGCATTGTGGATTTAAGAGTGCAAGCTGCATCTGGTTCCTTCTCCCCTAGAACATGCTGTATAGTGGCAGAGACAAATTAGCAAAGAGACAAGGATGGTATGACAATATGACATAGTATGACATATGACAATATGACTTAGATGGGAAAGTTCAAGGTAGTTTAGGAGTATACACTTGACTGGGTTAGAGAATACCTCAGGAAAAAGTGAAAGTATCTACTGAGGCCTAAAGGATCAGGAAGACATAACCACATGCAATGAAAGTAAAGATATTCCATGTAGGGGAAGTAGCATGTACACAATCTCAGGATTGTCCCTGATTATGGACATGGTGTGTTCCCATATTAAGTTTGGTGTTCTGGAACATAAAGTAGGGGCCAGAGACTTGAGAAGAGATGAAGCTAAAGAGAAAAGCTACTGAGAGGTGAAGCCAGCTGGGTTTCTGGGTTGACTGGGGACTTGGAGAACTTTTCTGTCTAGCTAAAGGATTGTAAATGCAACAATCAGCGCTCTGCTTCTAGCTAAAGGTTTGTAAATGCACCAATCAGCTCTCTGTAAAATGGACCAATCAGCAGGATGTGGGTGGGGCCAAATAAGGGAATAAAAGCTCGCCTTGCTGCAACCGGTTAGGGTCACCTTCCACGCCATGGAAGCTTTGTTCTTTCGCTCTTCACGATAAGTATTGCTGCTCCTCACTCTTTGGGTCCGCACTACCTTTATGAGCTGTAACACTCACTGTGAAGGTCTGCAGCTTCACTCCTGAAGTCAGCAAGACAACGAACCCACCAGGAGAAACCAACAACTCCGGGCACGCCACGTTTAAGAGCTGTAACACTCACTGCGAAGGTCTGTGACTTCACTCCTGAAGTCAGCAAGACCGCGAACCCACCAGAAGGAAGAAACTCTGGACACATCTGAACACCTGAAGGAACAAACTCTGGACACACCATCTTTAAGAACTGTAACACTCACCACAAGGGTCCACGGCTTCCTTCTTGAAGTCAGCGAGACCAAGAACCCACTGGAAGGAACCAATTCTGGACACACTAGGACCAGACCTAAAGGACCTGCTAAGCAAATCTTAGGTTTTTAAACGAAGGGCAATGAGATAATCAGCCAAGGCGACTGAAGAAAGCCTGGGGATTGCTGGCTAGAGTTAAAAAGACTAGAGGCATGGAGACAGACTAGGAAGCCATGGCAAGAATCCAGGCAAGAGATGCTGGAGGTCTGAGTGAGGGAGTAAAATCAGAAGGTCTTGGTTATTGATTAGATGTGTGTAGTGAGAAAAGAAATCAAGAATGACTTTTAGGTGTCTGATCTAGTGATTGGGGCCTGGTGGTCCACCAGAAAGAGAATACAGGAGGAAGAAACAGTTTATCATGGGCGTGTTGTGGACATGTTGAGTTTAAGGTACAGCCTCAGCATGTGGTACTATACACTGGGTGTATTAAGCAGGGTTCTCTAGAGGGACAGAACTAATGGAATTTTATTTATATATATATATATATATATGGGGAAGTTTATTAAGCATTAATAAATAAATATTAAGCATTAACTCACATGAACCCAAGGTCCAACATTAGGCCGTTTGCAGGCTGAGGAGGAAGGAGAGCCAGTCTGAGTTCCAAAACTGAAGAACTTGGAGTTCGATGCATGGGAGAAAGATGTAGGCTGGGAGGCTAAGCCAGTCTCCCTTATCACATTTTTCTGCCTGCTTCTATTCTAGCTACCCTAGCAGCTGATTAGATTGTGTCCATCCAGATTAAGGGTGGGTCTGCCTTTCCCAGCCCACTGACTCAAATGTTAATCCTCCTTTGGCAGCACCCTCACAGACACACCTAGGATCAATACTCTGTATCCTTCAATCCAATCAAGTCAACACTCAGTATTAACCATCACACTGGGTATTGCTTTCAAGCTAGGAGAGAGACCTGGATTGGAGATAAAGATTTAGAAGACTTGCTCACCAAAACCTTCCCTCTCAAGACCTGTGCATTATTTATTTATTATTCTGTCTTTGATAAACACTCTTTTCTGAACACATATTATTTGCCTCCCTCTGTAGCCCTTTCAATAATTTTTGTTATCCTTTGCAGTAACTTTCCCAAGTGATTTATGTTTCATGTACTTTCGTCTTGTATTCTAAAGATTCTTCAGGCGTCAAGTGTGTTATTTTCAGGTCAGCTGCAGCTTATAACAATAATCTCTAAACTGGCTTTACAGTTCTCAAATTAAATCCCTACTGACTGGCCCTTGAACTGATTTTTTCTAGCATCAGCAAAGTCACAGAGTGTTTCCCTAAAAGAGAAAGCATTTACTCAGAAACTGTATATTAAAGTCCAGGCTGAAAAATGCAAACATGAGTAAGTTGTTCTTATTCTTCAGAAACTTGGGCAGTTGCAAATGCGTATTTATAATTAATATATATGAGTAATGGGCAGTGGGGCATGAGGGGAAAGGACGAAGTTCTGTTAGAGGATGACAAAGTATTTTGCAAGTTTACAGGGAGGGGAAGGTCATTTCATACAGTGACTCATGGAAGACTTTATGGAGAATATGGCATTTTAGATTGGCCAGATGGAAACCAAAAAGAAGATACTAGGGCCAGCATATGCCCTGTTTTAAGAGGCAGCAGTACACAACGCTGATCGTTTTTGCTATGTGGGAATATTATCAGCCCATTGTTTAGTTTTGCTTTTTTAAAGGAAACTGGAAACTCAGATTTTATATGAAATCTCTTGACTTTAAAATTTAGGCTCAGACTCTTTCTAAGCATTGTGTAGACCAAATAAACAACTTCCTGTGAGCCCGAAGCAGTCTACAAAATACCATAACCTCTGATATAGGACTTTTTTAAATGTAAGAGGTATGATCTTAATGCAACCACTGTTTATTGAGCAAAGCACTGTGGTAGGTATAGCTTATACCAACAACCCATTCCCTACCCTTTAGGGAGCTCTGCTTAGTTGCAGAGAAAAACCAGGTAGGGACTACTTCTATTTTTTGATTTTACCTTAACTATCACAGTGTCCTATATCTGTTGACGCTGAACAAATATTTGTTCTTTGGTATTTCTGCAACACAAGGGCATCCAATACCTTGCCCTTTTTTTTCCT